TAACGTAAAACCATTATCGCCGACTATGATCCCAGCATCCGAACGACAGCAAATAATTGATACTGGTACTTTGATCTCTACTATTAGTCGTTTAAGATTAATAAAAGTAGATACTCTACGTACACCCAACAGTATCTGTTGTGGACACTTTAATTAACCTCGTTTTGAAAACCAAAAAGTTTTGCAACTCCATAAAAAAATTGCTTCTGATTAATCATTGAAGCAGCTGGAAGCAACTTCTGACACGTAACCAAAGCCAGCCTACAACAGTGTACAAATAAATGTTGTTATGTCAGAATTACAGCGGCAGTTCGGTTAAGCCATCTTTTGTGCAGCGATGTATGCACATTTCTGATTCTTTCATCGGTTTTTACAAAATTCGGAATGCTTTTCGCCGCCTTTGCAGCAGAACGAAACAAATGTCAAGAAAAATTTACATGGGTTTTTGAACTCGACGTTTACTTCTAACAAAACGGATACAATATAAAGTGTATATTTGCTCCAAATATTCTAATTCTGTGATAAATTGTCCAGTCTCAAGATTTTATATTATCAAATCGATAATGTTTGTAAAACCCGTTCTGACTCTCCCCTTACAACAGATATGTCTTGGTACCACTTAAATGAGATAAAATTTAAAAACAAAAAACAAAAAACTTACATCTTAAGAATAAGTTACAGGAACACTAACAATTTATTTATAAATGTTTAAATGTGCAGCAAAATTGAAAATAAAATCTTTTAATTAAAGATTTGTTGTTAAAGAAAATATTTTTTTTAAAAACTTCCACGCTAAAAAATCTTTAGGATTGGGGATTTGGCCAAAAGGCCAGAACATTGCGTAACTGGAAGGTTTCATTTTCTGACAGACTTTCGTGTTTGTTACATAATAAAAATCCATAGAAACACACCAGCTCTAACTTATCAATGAAATCTCTACGCATGACCCCCTCGTTGAACTTTCAACTTTGTGTCTTTGAAATAAAAAAAAACTACGTGATGTAAACCTCTAGATGTCGAAAATGGATAATGATTAATTGGATAAAACTATTGTTTAGTTTATTTCTGGTAAAAGACCTTCGGAAAATTTTAATCAATTAAACTTTTAATAAGTAAATAAGAATATAAAAGGACTCTATCGGGACTGAACGTGCGCTTCGTTTATCATATACCTAGGCCAGTTCCACGAGTTAATGTTACCTGCTACCCACCGAATCTGTCATGTCTGGCTGTTTACATTAAAATGTTATCATGTGTCTGTCAGTAAATCTATCAGTTTGTCAGCCATCATTCAGATGTGACAGTGTTATAGACAGGTTAGAATTACTAAGTAAACACTATTACTCCGCATGTAGGTTTCAACTTTACAGTTTAACTAAAGCACAATGGGTCTCTTCGCTCATCACGACAGACGCGACTTGCACCTGTCCCGAGGGTGTGAATAACGCTCGAGACGACCAAATAATCGATGACACAATCTAAAACTTGACCGCTGACCACTCGGAAAGTTACAACGCGTCAACTCGACACGGAAGCGTCCAAATCGGTCATCATGACCCAATCAAACATTCAAAAAAAAAATGGCGGTGATCCGGGATTAAGTTTCGGGTGTTTCAGCCGGAAGTCTGGGCCTGTGTAGAGTAGACAGATCGGTTGACCTTTTACGTTGATACAAAGACCTGCCTTAAATGACAACAACGCGGTGTTTGAATTATGTATTACTATTCCGATTAAGCTGAAATTCCAACACGCGCGCACGAGGCAGGTGCTGTTCAAAACCTAGTCATACACATGTATCCGTCTTAATACACTATTGTCATGATGAGATTAGAAGGGTATTCAAAGTCGCGAGATTGACGCCAATATGAACTCCTCACAAGTGGCAAGAAGTTGTAAACGTGCTCATCTGACTTTAAAAGGCATATAATCCGTGAACATTTACAGTCCTATAATGTACTGTATTATATCAATATAAATACTGTTTTATTACATAGAATATAATGACAGGATGTGATATTAACCATCCCTCCGGTTAATAACATATTCAGGTTGATAAATATCCATATGGGAATAGATAATCTATGATTAAAGTATGTGTGTCTCCAACTCCTTCTTCTCATCTCCCCTTTCCTCTAGCAATGTCTAGTAATTTTCTACTCTTTTGTCTTCACTTTCGTTTCTCAACATTAAGATTCTATGAAATGTTACTATGTCAATTAAGTTTTTGTATAATATACTACATTGAATATGTTTATTGTGTATAAACATGTATCTGTAGGAGTGTTTGTGTGTACATGTCAACACTAAGTGTGTGTTGTGTTTATACGTGAACCACTATAAAGATGTAAATCACTAAGTGTGTGTGTTGTGTTTATACGTGAACCACTATAAAGATGTAAATCACTAAGTGTGTGTTGTGTTTATACGTGAACCACTATAAAGATGTAAATCACTAAGTGGTTAATACTGTGAATTGATTTGTTTTGTATGTTATAATGTTGAAATGTAATAAGAAAATAAATAGAAATGAATGTATGTGTGTTTTTATGTTATCTATAACAAAACATTTAACATTTTTTACTTGATCTGTGTTGTTCTAAGATAGTTTATTTTTAATTTGCATTCTACCTTGATTTTCACGTAATACCAAGTGATTACAAGTCATCATACAACCCTAAAATATACCCTGAGAAGACTCAGTGACCTTCAATGATTTTTTCCTTCAGTTGACCGAGACGTTTCCCTCAACATCAATAAGGTAATTAATTTACCGGAGATTATCAGAGATTACAAAATGTAGAACGTCAGCTAATAATGTATGGCTTTATTTCGATGAGAAAAAAAGGGAAATGGACCTCGTCTTTAGTGGAGATCAATACCGAGATCGACAAAATCACTGATAATATCTTCACTTTGATGTGGTAACTGTATTAGGAAATCCTAAGATAACGTTATCGCCAAGTTTGGTGACTGTAAAGGTTTCGGATTAACTGTGAGGTTTCTAGATATTCACTGTTCCAAGACTCTTCAATGGTTTCAGCTCAAACAAGAATTTCCGCGGAGTCCATGTTAACTTTAATATAGACTTCTGGACCCAGGGGCCGGGGTATCATTACATACAATCACAGGGGTGGGGTGGGGGTAAGGGTATGTTTAGAATAGAAATTTTTCGTATTTATGTCGAAGATTTACAAAAACAACTTGATATGTTATATAATTATGCACAGAAATGGCACCGTGTCGAATGATGTTACAGTTCACCTATATTGGGAATCCTATAGAGATAGTGAACAATTTCAACTATCTAGGCGTTTATTTCACACGTAATGGTTTAACTCAATTTGATATTAATCAATTATATGAAAAGGTTCTAAGAGCCTTATATGGTGCTATTGCTAAATTTAGAAATCATAATCGTTCCATTGACTGTAAATTAGATACGTCTGATAAAGCTATAAAACCCACCATTTTATACGGTTGTGAAGTCTGAGAATTTTGTGACTTTTAGAACGTCTACATTTAAAATTTTGTATACATATTCTCAAACTGAAAATATCGACCCCCAACTTCATGGTTTACGGCGAACTCGGAAGATTTCCATTGAATATTACTATCAAAGTACGTATGGTCGGATTTTGAGCAAAATTGATAAAATCTTCACAAAACAAGTTGAGTCATAAGCTTCATCAGATAAGTAATAATTATAATACACAGTGGTCTAATTGTATTAAAAATATCCCTGAAGAATGTGATTTACTTAATATCTTCGAATCCCAACAAATCATCAATATACCTTGTCTGAAAAAAATTATCTTCCATACTTTTAAAATTAATTTTATTTATTGATGGGAAAACGATGTTTTCAATTCCCCAAAAGTGACAAATTATAGAATTTACAAACATGAACTGGTTCTAGAGAAATATTTGCTGGATCTCCTTCCCAGATTGTCTAAGATTTGTTGTAAATTTAGAACGTGTAATTTAAAATTAGCTGTAGAAATCGGCTGATGGAATAATGTACCTAGAGAGAATAGAATTTGTAACCTTTGTAATATTCACGATATTGGAGAGGAGTTTCATTATTTATTTAATTGCAGTGACCAACAAATATTGGTTAATAGAAAGAAATTAATATCCAGATATTATTTCGAAAGACCAAGTGCATTTAAATTTAACACTTTATTTAATTATGTTGCTAATGATGAATTGACATCACGTAAAATTTATAAAGATAATTAATGTTCGGCTAAACTCGGAAAACTAACATCATTTGTACTAATGTGATGTAATTGTGGTATTGCACATGTCCTACTTGTACGTGTATTTAAATTCTATACACTACTTTGTTTACGAGAATGAAATATTTCTCATTGTCATTGGGGATCTTTTCTTATATGCCTAGCCTGTTGTTCGGGGTACATCGACAATCGATTTCCTTGTTGGTCTTTGTGTAACACGTGAACAGGTGTCAGTTGGTGACTAATTTACACATCAAACTCCGAATCTCGTAGATCAAACAAACAAGGAATCCCCTCTAGACATCCCACTTATCAATTTCTACTATTAGTTTCGTATCAATTATTCAACAACATTATTTATTTCAAAAAAAAGTTCAGAAGATGTTTTCCCCAGAGCATCAATTGTCGTTTTAAAAATTAAATATTAATATGCTCAGCCACCATAACTTTCCTCAAAGTGATTCCATAATGTTTAGTTGATCTTGTGTCACAATAGCTCTTTGTAGCTAACCATCTTTCTTATTTGTAGTTTTAAACGCTTTGGTATCCATCAAATTATCATAACTTTGTTAAGTTTTACTTATTTTTTCCCTCATATTGTTTTATTGTCACTTTCATCTTGTTTAATAAAACTTCAAAATTCACTCAGCCGTGACCATCATTATTACATCGTTTGTGTATCCTGTATATTATATCACTAGGATACTGGTTATGGTCGATCTTTATCATTTTCTGTGATAAATATTTTATCTGACGTCGTACCATTTCTGTAGGTGGTACGGAAGACGTTGGAGTCTATCGACCAAGCATAATGCATCATTGTGCAAGCTTGTCCTCGTACGAGATTCTTCTGCTTCAGATCAGTCACCCAACACCAGACAACATGTTCAGGCGCACATATCTGATTTTTAAGGCTGGCGTAAAAATTCAAAGGTAAAAATAAATGTTTCCACTTTAACAAATTTAAAAATTTTAAAAAGAAAAAAAAATATAATTTATCAAGTTAAAACAAATATTTCTACTGTAACAACTTTTAAACTTTAAAAAATGAGAAAATAATGATTTCTAAAGTTGAGAGCAACATGTTCAGTGCAAGTATTTTGAAGCACCTAATATAGCCAGGATACCATGTATTTATTACATGATGACTCAACGTGGTAGTAAAGAACTTGAAATCAGGATTGTATAATATACATGTAGACAAGTGTTTACTTTTTCTGTTCTCTCCACAAATTATTGACTATATCGGGTATTAAGGGTGTGATCTTACATAAATCTACACAGAAATGTAAGTGTATCCTAATTTGAATATCCATGTTGTATTACAAGTCTCCCGGTCAGACAAGGACGGTATCAGGGTACACACATACACATATAGATTAAGTTATAGTCGTATCTTTAAATGACTTGTTGAACAGAGATAGTGAGAAGTTACCTTGGGTTAGCGTTAGGAGCAGAAATATCCACGTGCAGAGATGGAGGGTCCATAGGACTGTCATGGCTACGCCTCATACCTCCCGACCGTCAGAGTTAAATCCCACATATAAGTCCCGGGGGTCAGCACACGCCACTGCAGAGAAAGTAAACACACACTTGTATCGTAAAAGTCTCCTCCATGTTTGAATTTTATTAACTGTTGAGCTCTGAGCTGAAGCCGTAACACGAGTACCTCGATTAACTGTTGGGGCGTTGGAGCGTGGCACCCCTATATCGTAAAGGTACCGGCAGTAGTATTAGTAGCAGTCAAGGAGCGGAACGTGCACCTGTCATCTCGCGTGTAGCACAACAATACACCCTTAAGTTGTGTTGTACATGCATATAAAGTACTATCCCGCTCGCAGTACATATGACGATAGCGTTAGTGGTATTGAAGTAGTGTCCAGGAATAGTGCCCCTTTTTCACTCTAGTGAAACACGACAGTGTGTCCCTTTAAATACAGGTACAGACTGTATTACCAATATTCCGTCCCTGTTGTAGATATTAGTGTGCAGGCTATTAGCCGGTGGGTCTTACTTACAACTAAAACTGTTATTAGGACACGATACTGACAATAAACGAGGGACGATCGAGGCGGCGTTGTCTTCTTGATGTATGGATTTTCTCAGGTAATCCTGTCATTCATTTCAACCAAGTAGTAAAGTAAAGGCAGCCTGGTTTGGGATAATTGGAATGTACGATCGATTGATCATTTCGTGTCCGCGATTATATATGTGCACCGGTGATACCTTACACTACAGAAAGAAAACGTACGGCGCGAGGTGTGTTGTTCTCCGGGTACCTTCGCAATGGGGAGTCGGTGAGACATCTAAAAGGTACGGCGATATCGGCGTGTTCGGGGGGCCATTAGCGGACATCTGGTATGCGAAACTCTGAATGACAAATGTCTTTTTGTTGTTAATAGTCACTTCAAGGACAATTGCGCATTTCAAATGTTATTTTCACGTGTAAGATATTCATAAACGTTTTAAAGACGCTGACGGTTCTGCACGCCCAGTGAAAAGTTCGACCAATAAATTAGTTTTCTAGTAATTAATGTATTAGTGCAAGGTAAATGGCAGAAGTGTAAAATGGACATTAGAAAATCTTCATCATATCTATGTTTGTAGCCGACATGTATCACAATGTTATATTAGAACGTTTAGATTAGTTGGGAGTTTTATTTGGATACAACTTTAATCTTCTTCATTTGCGCGCTTACGTACCACAAGGACACAATAGATAAACACAATGGAGATGTTGCTTATCAAACTGATGTGGAACATAACAAATATATATTGTGTCATCTCAAGTCATAACACGATACACAATGATGGACAACAGCAGTAAACACTGACATTTAAACGAAGCTTGTTAGACATTTTATAAATACTGTTATGACGAAACTTTGTGTGACATTCATCCTACATGTGGTGGTCGAGTTAAACACCTATAGCTACAGATGTTATTATCGCTGAGTGAAATCTTCAAAACATGCAGGTAGCTTCAGTTTAGACAAGTATACATGTATAGCCCAAACTAATATATATATTCATACTTACCTTAACCAACAAAAACAAAATTTAAACTCCAAACAATTTGCCCGGTGGTAAAAACGTGATAAAAGTCACGTGATTGTCTGGACTGTCCCGAGTATCCTGTGGTTCCTGATCAGGACCACCCCCGTGTGGCGCGTCCCCGAAGATGTCGGAGGTATTTACATATACTACCCTATAGCAAGTCTATGATCATTACCATCAACAAATAGTTTGTGTACTCAACCGTGACACCTCTAAACCGCAATATATGACTGGATCAATTCGAGTATCATTTGACCCTACCACCACAACACCGAAACTACGGTTTATAAACAAAATTATTACAGTTGGTATAATCAGAGTATCATTTGACCATTTGAAACCCATTAAGAAAAGTATGTTTTTTTAATCTCCTGTAGAAACTTAAACAGTGTCCTACAGAGAGTATGATGAGAGTATGATACGCTGTAAATATATTTGAATTAGCCCGAGTATCATAGGAACCCTCCAACATAAGTATTATACTTTGTGTACCCTCCAACATAAGTATTACACTTTGTGTACCCTCCACCATAAGTGTTATACTTTGTGTACCCTCCAACATAAGTATTACACTTTGTGTACCCTCCAACATAAGTGTTATACTTTGTGTACCCTCCAACATAAGTATTATACTTTGTGTACCCTCCAACGTAAGTATTATACTTTATGTACCCTCCAACGTAAATATTATACTTTGTGTACCCTCCAACGTAAGTATTATACTTTGTGTACCCTCCAACGTAAGTGTTATACATTGTGTACCCTCCTACATAAGTGTTATACTTTGTGTACCCTTCGACACAAGTATTATACTTTGTGTACTCCCCGACATAAGTATTACACTTTGTGTACCCTCCAACATAAGTATTACACTTTGTGTACCCTCCAACATAAGTATTACACTTTGTGTACCCTCCGACATAAGTATTATACTTTGTGTACTCTCCGACATAAGTATTACACTTTGTGTACCCTCCAACATAAGTATTACACTTTGTTTACCCTCCAACATAAGTATTACACTTTGTGTACCCTCCAACATAAGTATTATACTTTGTGTACCCTCCAACATAAGTACTATACTTTGTGTACCCTCCAACATAAGTACTATACTTTGTGTACCCTCCAACACAAGTATTATACTTTGTGTACCCTCCAACATAAGTATTATACTTTATGTACCCGGAGTATGTTTACCATAACACTTCCAGACGATGGATAGAAGCTGTGTAGTACAATTGTCTTGTGACCTTTAAACAGTATTATCGTGGAAAATGCTGGATAGAAGGAGTTATAAGGTTCGTGGCTAATAAAGAATCTGAATATGAATTTCGCAGTATCGGATATATACTCTCAAGTTGACCGACGTATCATTAAACCACCGCCGTCTGTTTCCGGTATTTTCTGGTAATTTCCGCTCATCGAGGGGAAGGTAGGGGCATGAAAAACTTTCAGATGAGTATTTCTTGAAAAATTTCTTAAATTTTCTGTGATACAATTATGTAATGTAATAAGTTTTCAAGTTTGAGTCGAAATTCAGATAGTAAAGAAGACTCCGTGACTGAAATACTATAGCGTGAAAACAGTGTCAAGACTTTCAATTTAATGAATTATAAAGAATTTTTCGGAGGTATCGGAAAAAGGATGCATGCATTTTAAAGCCGAACTATAAAAATAGGTTTCGGGCAACCATTCACGATAAATCGACCTATCGATTTCCAGCTGACTGCGCTGGACAATGTTTTTGTTGGTAAAGATAATATTATTTCTCTTTGTTTGTATTATCAGAGTCGTTTATTACAGAAACTAAGGTATAATTTAACACGGTTGATTATCACAGTAAGTCTGTCAGGAAAGACAACACATTGACAGAATTCTAGTTATCCGTGATATCTAGACTCTTTACTCCATAAAACCACGATTTAAAAAAGGGAGAAATTTGGAAAGGCTTCCTAATCATTCCCCTGTCTGGATTTAGAGTCGACATGTATCATTCGTCAACAATATACAATCACAGGGTCTTGATGCTAACGCACCAACCACGGTTCGTTACATTGTGCAATAGAAATGTGTAACCATGGTGCTGGCAATCGGTGTCAAGCCCCTGTGTGTAACCAAATCATTGAAGACTAGTCATTGAAATAAAAGTTGTATATGATGTCACTCTCTGTTTTCCACCTGTATCAAACGTTAAATCCCAGAACGGTCGTTAACTGTCTGTTGGTCGTAATGACTGAGTTTGATCAGGACGACGGATCTTTCACTGGCGTATGAACCAAAACGCACTTCTGACTATGAATTCTAAATCACTTGGACGTTTGATGTTATCAAAGAGTCATTGTCGTGAAAAACATATAAAAACTGTTATGTTTTCACAAACAAGTTCACTGATGATTGAACAGTTCACTATCTAATCCTGCAGAGATCGATTGTCGTATTGTTTGCAATCCCATCCAAATCAAAGCGTTTCTGTGACATTAATGGAGTAGTTTGGTGGCGCTGTGTGTGAGAAGTGCAGTCGGTACATAGATATTTTGATACAGATTATTCAGGTCACCAGACTGGTTTATATTTTATCTTGTTGTGATATGTCCAGCTCGCGATGTCACAGCATCATTACAACAATTCCCGACATCAACAATTGTGGAAAATCGTTACTACTGACGCAAACCATTTAGTGGAAAATATTAAACCGGAAGTCACACGCGGAAGCTAGTTTCTAAGGTAGACACAGGTACACTTTACCATCGTTCCGGAAATTCTAACAAAACCTAAGTCTTTCGAGTAGACGAAATCGTTAAACTTATTTTATATACTGCTGTTCAAATAAACTCTAATGGTATCAGGGTAGTAGGGACAATTTGCGATCTCGGTTTAAAAAGTTCTTTACACTGAATTAATGTAAAAAAAAAGAATTCTGTTGTAATTTCAAGGCCAAAACATCTTTTTGATTCCAGTCGTGGAGTTTACTACCTTTGTTTATGGTCAGGCTTACTATTTTAGATAGTTGTTTACTGTCTAGTTGTCGACACGTACTGCTTGTTAAAAGACTGAATATCGTACATTTTCTGCAATGGATGTTTACATTGATATATAAATGCACGTTTCAGACCACGAATTCTTCTGAGTTTTCTTCACTAAATACGGTAATTATCGTGACTATAAATCGCACCATTAACATCAACACGTTAATTTCAAATAGACAAAAAATGATTCTCGTAGGATTTTTAAGGCCATGCGAGTTGTTATTTTTATGCGCTTATGAAATTAATCGCTTAGATGTTGATACTGTGATTTGGTTTCAATCTATGATACTTATCATGTTTTACGAAAACAAATACACTATTGTTAACAAGTGCCTGTGATTTGAGACCTAAGACTAAAAAAACATGCGGTATATATACACTTTTAAAATGAAAAAAAATATCTCTAGTTTCAGTCGCAATACCATTAAA